TAGGAACGGGTCTAAGGCCACAATGTCGTCCCGTTCAGTTAGCCGTAGTTTCTGGACTTCGGTCCAATGCAGTAGTTAGTGTTTTTGACGCCTCCGTGGCTCAGACAGGATTTGTGTGCTTATGCTAGTTGCTAGGTTATGATATGCTGTGTTCAGTCAGTCAACTTCGAACTTCGGTTCGATGTAAGGGACAAGGTCCCAGTCAGTCAGCTTCGGACTTCGGTCCGATGTAGGGGACAAGGTCCCAGTCAGTCAGCTTCGGACTTCGGTTCGATGTAGGGGACAAGGTCCCGGCCAGTCAGCTTCGGTCTTCGGTCCGATGTAGGGGACAAGGTCCCAGGCAGTCAGCTTTGGACTTCGGTTCGATGGAGGGGGCAAGGCCCCAGTATATGCTTTATATGTTTATATGGTATGTGGTAGTTTGGGGGAGCTCACTAAGCTTCGTGCTTACAGTTTCAGTTTTGGTTTCAGGTACTTCCGCATGCAAAGGGAAGAGCTCGGGTTGATGGCATCGCACACGCCACAGCTTTAGCTTTATCCTGGGAGTTGATTCAGTTTCGTGATATGTTTGGATACAGTTGTGATACAGTTATTCTCACAGTATTTTATTATGGTTTTTATTATGTGATACTCAGTTTCGTGGTTTTTGATATAATAAAAGTCGAAATTTTTGGGTAGTATTTTTGGATCGTTTCAAGTTGAGGGGAAAAAGAAAACTTACCAAAATCAGAGTTTTACATAAAAGAGGCTAGTTTGGAGAGGACACAATTATGTCACTTAAGAACGTCTATGTTCTAGTGAGAGGGTTCTTCAGGTATCTCGGAAAATGTGGATGGTAGGAGTGAGCTTGGTTTCGGAATTAAATCACGTTGAACCGGAACTAAAAAACTGAGAACCAAATTTATGGATATGGAGGAACCGAGAGCTTAACCAAATTACATATTCGGTTCCCAATCGGTATGGTTCTAACAAGTATTTTGTTCACTTCAAGTTATCCAAAACCAAACCAAACCAAATCGGAACCGAAAAACAAATTTATAGAAATGAAGGAATGAGAACATAATCAAATTAAGTATTTGGTTCCACGTCGGTTCGGTTCAATGAGAATTTTGCTAGCCCATAGCAAAACACTAGCTTAGGTAGTAGCCGGCGACTTGTGACGACACGAATGATGGGGGAGGCAAGGGCCTTGTAGTTGAAAGAGCTATTAAGAGTACGTTTGGTTGTGGAAATCTGTTTTCATTTTCTAAGAAAATGTTTTCAGAAAATAGACTTGAGTTTTAATTTTCAATTTTCAATGAAAATTTTAGAAAACGCGTTTGGTTGAAACCGGAGAAGTTTTCATTTTTCAACTTAAAAATTTGGAAAACTTTGAGTAACTGTAAAAAATCACTTTTCTAATTTACATACAATTTGGAAAACTTGAAATTTTCATTTTATTGGAAAATTTTAAAAAACTAAATGAACCAAACATGTTTTCAAAATTTCTATTTTTTTTTTTGGAAAATTTTCCTAGAAAACTGAAAAAAATTTCACAACCAAACACACCCTAAACGTCCCACTCGGCATGTTGATAGAAAGTTTGGATGGACTTAATTGTATGTCAAGGTGGATATATTTTTGGTTTGTGTTACAAGTCAAAGGGCCACTTGTGTAAATATGTAAAATGTCAAAAGTTGTATTGACAACTCTTTATTACGTTGAGCTTTTGCTTTTACTTCTTACTTTTCGTTTCCCCTTTCTAGAGTATACCTCTCATTATTTTGTCCTTGTTCTCTCTATTGTTGGCTTTTATCTTCAAGAAATAAGAAGAATCATTTTAAAGCCATTGTTGACGTTAATCCTTGAAGAAACTTTAATCTACAATATACCAAATTATTTATTTCGCAAAAAATCCAATCTTTCTGTTATTGTTCACATTCACACCAACAAGAATACCCACCCACCCACCCTACTTACAAAACCATACAAGAATAAACAATCAATCACCCAAACAACAATACACACAATACACAAACACAACAAATCAATCAATCAATCAACCACATTTAACTACAACTAAACATCATTTCATGATGAAGAATCTAATGAGGGTTCTGAGAAAGTTCTCTTGAGATGTGGGGATGGAGTTGATGGAGGTGAGGCAGTTAACCTTCTAGAAGAAATCCCACCCCCACCCGAGGTAGTTATAATTACAGGTGTAACCTCTTCAATGCCTTCATCCAAATACACAACATCTTGCATTGTTAGTTGATGATATTCAACAATTTCTCTCAAGAATCTATTCTCACGTGCATATACTGAATTTTCATTAGCCAATCGCGCCTTTTCTGCTAAAAGTGACTCAAGTTGTTCACGTATCTGATCATTCAAAATATCGCAACATATAGAATCACAAATTAATATGTATGTTAAAGTTGTTTCAAACTTCAAAAGATAAATGAAAATGAATACATGCCATGTCATCGTCTGCAGGGTGATCTCCCTTTTCAAGAGCCTCTCTTAGCATTTTGTTTTCTTCTTCAAGTTGACTACTTCTTTCTTTTGCAAATGCCAGATCAGCTTTTATGGTTTTCAGCTCCCGAAGAAGTAGTTTTGCCTTTGCAGCTGTTGCAATCGCCACCTGTCACACATAACACACAATTCTTACTACTAAAAAGTTGAGACCACGTTTGTTAGGATATGACAGAACAGGTTGTACTATGTTTGGACTGAGACCGAGACTAATGTCAACCACATATATGTAATTTACTAATTACACATTTGCCACCTTACGTCGCGTGATGCCTTGATTTGAAAATCTTGGTTTGTCTGTTGTTGTTGTTGTTGTGTGGATTCCATTCCAGGGACCTGATTCCGATTCAAATTCTGATTCTGGTTCTGATTTGGGTCATCATTCATTCCTTTTCTCCTGTTCTGCAGTTTGCGTGTTTCTTGGATGATGCCATGTGTTTTCTTGTCCACAATTGTACGCCCTTCCTGATAATAAATGTAAGTAAGAATACATCATTTATGTTTCTATGATCTTTTCAATTGACAAAATCAAAGCAACCAAAGCTAAAGGAGAAGGTGAAAATAGAAATTGAAAATATCAGTTAATGCTAATTACCTCAAAGGCATTTCCAATTGAGTCACCAATCTGATTAAGTGAAGATGTGAGTTTATCCAATCCCTTCCTTAATCTTGGATTATCCAATTTTCTGGAGTTCTCAAAAGACTCATAACGATGCTCAACCTGAGTGTTAAACATCATATATGGAAATATCAAGATGGTAGTGTCAATTGTCAAACAACAAATAAATGATGCTTTTGATTTGCATTGTGAAAGTTGATATCTACCTGGTTGCTTGTTGAGACTGTTTCTGGCTTCACACTGCCAATAGGAGGATTAAAACGTTTAGTAGAGTCATTATCATCATCAAGGATTGATTTAGCCTTCCTTGCTAAAACACCCCAAAATCCCCCTGGTTCATTTGTGCTTCCCATTGATGTATAGTCATAGGTAGCAGAGCCCTGCATTGCATTACCAGGTATACCATCTTATTAGCAGAAAGAAGGATGCTATTCATTCTCTAATCTGCTAACTGAAGTGTGTGTTTTCAGTTGTTCTTAACATAACTACCAACCAAAATCTAAGATTGAAGAAGAGATCTTCCAAGTAAAATGACTAAATTAGTAACAGAGCATTATATTAGAATTAGCAATACACCTTCTGATAAGCAAAACAAATGCCTTAAGAGTTAAGTCAGAACTATATTGTTTACTAGTATATTGGTGTTCTTTCATTGGACCCGTTTCAGATTATGCTATACATCAAGTATTTAGATTTTTGAAGCCAGAAACGTGTCTGATACTAACAATTGTAAGCGGATCCAATCGAAGGTGCTAAAACAAAAGGCAAAATAGCAGAAAAGGAATTGAATGACTAAAAGAAAAAAATGAAATCGAAGTTTGTTATGAGGTTTCTCAGTTTACACATGATTATTTAAGTAAGAGAGTAGAAGATCAAATCAGACAACCTTGGATCGGTCTTTAGAAGAGGAGTGGGAAGTAGAGTTGGCGTAAGCGGAGGAGAGAGAAGAATCTCGATGAGCGGCGGATGCTCTGATCGCTTGAGCAGCAAGTGATGAGGACGGAGCAGCGGAAGAAGTGATGGTGGTCGTGTCGCGGTTGCTGGGAGAATGGAGAATCTCTTCATTGAAGGTGGAAGCCCTAGAAATCCCCTGCTTTCTACGGTACGCCATCTAAGATTGACAGAATAACAAAGAAGATTTTAACAGGAAGTTGACCGCCGGGCAAACACCGCCACCGCCACCGTTGAAGATACGACGGCGAGCGGATCCGAGAGAATGATAAAACTAAAAGCAGTGGTTTTCAAAAGCATCACCCACACTCAACAACGCGTCTTTTTAAGTTTCAAGTAACCAATTTACATTTTTTATTTTTCAACGCAAACCATATTTTGAAAAGTATTTAATATTTATATTTTATACATAAATCATATTGTCAGTTGTTAAAATATTATCAAAGTATGCAACTTTTTACAACTAATAATAATAACAAATAATAACTAAAACATATTCTTTTGCAATTTGTGGCCTCCTGATGAATAGCCATCTGCACATATGTTTATATGATTAAGGTTACAAATGTTTGAATTTATAAACTATAAACAATTGGATTTCTTTTTATGGATGTACCTTTGATGGTAATGTTTTTTTTTTTAACTTTTTTTATATACACATTGAAAAGGGCGAAATGTATATTGCTTTTGTTTACTGAATTAAATCTAATCTTTAAAAAATGTTATCTTCTTAAGCAAGGTTTCATAGTTGGAGGCCACCATTTAAAACCTTTGGAATATATATTTTACACCCCTACACGCATCATTCACAGATTGTATTGAAAAGAAATAACGCTACTACAACTGGATTTTAGATAGTCAAATCATTAAATATCAATTATGGCAATTAGCAACAGGGGACGTTTCTTCTACACGATTAAATTCTCCTTCGCCATTCATCTTCCCCACGCATCTTTGATTTCAAGAACCCTAAATCCAACGGCGCGTGAGGCATCAACGGCCCGTTGAATAACCCCCTTGTCGACATGCTTTCATCGCAATCTCTATTATTTGTCGTCCTTAGAACATGAGAAGTACTCAAGAAAGAGGAATCTTGATCTCTACTCATGATTCGATTCTGAGTGTCTGTTTTCATCGAGGAATCTTGTTTTCCATCATTCAAGACAGAATGACAAGAACCAAACAAGATCCAATTCTTTGTTTGACCAAATGGGATTTGAGGATCTTGTCTTGTTGCTTGATGATCATGAGAGACGGAGGCATCAATATCTCCAAACAAGCTCTGGAGCTTTCGTTTGGCCACCATTTGGGCAGTCGGACCTAAGTCTTTCACAAACTGCATTAGGCTTTTCCGGTAGCTATGCTCCGCCTGGTGGTGGTTTGACTGCAAAAAGTCTACATATATGATCACTTCAGCTTATAATAATATAACGATCATCAACAGGAACTTGTGTGATCAACTTACATAGACTAAGGATTTTGGAAACTTGTCTTCGTTGATCGAGTCCAGGTGGGGTTTGTAAGTGGATCGTCGATCTGCTTCAATGGAATCACATCTCTTACCATCTCGACTGCCTCCTGTGCATGTAATATAGAAATGCTGTAAGTTATTTCGACTAACAATAATTAATTCTAGGATTAATTACGTGGGAATATGATTATATGTATACTAGTATTTTCCGAAGTTTTTGAGGATGATTTGCCGTTGAACTCATCCTGGGATCTCCTGCAAGATCTTCGCCTTGTCCCTGAGAATTCCGACTCAAAGTTTTCTGGATTGGTTCTCAGGACATGGAAAACCCTCTTCGCTAGTTTATGTATTGCATGAGCCTGTATTAATATATAAAATGAGAGTTTTTGGATGTTATTGTCATCATCGTATGCATCTATACATGTAAATATATATATGTATACCTGTCTAAAGAAAATGGTACCAGAAGAATTAAAATGCATCGCATTTCCTGATATCAGAAATACATCATGCTGTATGATCGTTAATTTCCAGACAAGAAATTAGTAGAGATTAATTAACAAATGTATAAACAAGGTATATATTAAGTAAGAAATTAAAAATTACCTCAAATTGCTGGACGGAAGTATACATTCCTTCATGAAGTTTAGCTCTCATGGTTCCAAAGTCCATTGGTTCCTCGATGATTTCATAGTAGTCATCAACCTTAAAGGTTCAAATGATTTCAAAATCAAGGGGTATATATATTATATTATTATATAAGGTTTAAACAAATTAACCCATGACTAAAAAAGCACAAACCTCTTCAGGGTCAACTGGTTCAGCAAATATTTCATATATATCCTTCCTGACATCAAAATCATCCAAGATTAAGAACTTGAAATTATAAAAATGATGGTAGAATTAAAAGGAATAACTAATTAACGAACCTTTGCAATATGTCGATAATGTGCTCTAATGTGTGTTTATCAGGCAACGATTGATTGATGGATGGTGCACCCATTGGCTCATCTAATTAGATTTCAACAAAACCAAATTTTAAATAATTTCTAATTCCCAAACTCCATGCAGAAAATAAAAACGAAGCTCACCATTGTTGGATGCACGGGCATTCTCTTCAGGCTCTTCGATGTGTGTTTTATCTTATATATATCAAAACATAAACAAGAAACAAGATGAATCAATTTTATTTTCAAATGTCATGTCATCATGTTAGGAATGTAAAGAAAAACGTCCATATATAATCAACTTACCAACATTTCTTGACCCATCTTCTTGATTTAGTTTCTTTTCTACCTGAATATCAAAATGGGATTTCTAAATTAAGGGTATATGAGAAGTTATAAGTACCCAAGAAACTTAACACACAAACACAGTGATCGATGTTACATAAGTTATAATGTATAACCTGGAGTTTTGTTGATGAAGAAGATTCATGGAGTCTTCTCTTGAGGCTAGCCCTAGTGCGTGATGGTGGGCCTTGCAACTCTTCTTCTCTTAATGCACGAAACCGGCTTTGTTGCTGTTGAGCCTTCCTGATCCCCCTTACGTCTTCACCAGATTTTCCAGGTCTATTCCTCGTCTTCTTGTAGCTTTCTCCATCTCTTAACAATTTCCTGCACTGTGATCACCATGAACACTGAAGATGTGAGTACTCTTAGTTAGTTAATTAAGTATAAGGAGTCAGAAGAAGTAATGTTGGATGCATGGTGCATATTTCGATCATTCCCATTTCAAAACCAATGTAACACTCACTTGGGCATTCATTGAAACAGTTGGTGACAAATTTGAATGGTATATTAGTATAACACAAAATGGGATTATGATGCAGTAAGAGGAATGAACAAGGTTAAATAAACGATTCCACCTTGTTGCAATTAAGTAGACACGATTAGCAAATGAAGCAAATTTGGTTATATATGATTCTCTATTTGTTTATTAGCCATACTTGCTCCCATAGTATTAACTTTGAAAAGAAATTAAATTAATGACTTGCTGTATATGACAACCAAATCTTTTCCCATGCTTCCAGGAGTTGAGTTTATGAGTCAAAATATGGTATTATTTTAAGGAACATTCGATCATCCTGTTATTGACATTTTGTTTTTTAAACACTCACAATTCATAAGGGTAGAGGAAGTCACGCTACTTGCCACACTAAGGTTTTAGGGTGTGGGTGTCGTAGCACCCACGGTTTGTCACCCTCACTTGGTGGGAACGTATACCCCCCCCCCCCCCCCCTTCGGTTTTGGGTATGGTTTGGCGGAGCATGGTAGTAAATGGCCACATCTTTCTCCTCACATATCCCCTCCAACCACCCTTCAACGGATACTTTTGTATTTAATTTTTTTTTTTTTTAACTTGGAACAAGTATTTAAATGATTTAGAAATATTTACATAGACATAGCTAGCAAACGAGTAACAAGCTGTGCCGCAATCCCTTTTTGGATGACAAAACTAATTCTTTAAAAACATCATTTATAGATCTTGGAGTCATAACATTACAATGCATGACTTGTTGGACTCTATTGAGTAGCTTCACAGCAATCAGCACAAAGAAACCGAAAGTATCAAATGCAAAGGGTATAAACGTGTGTTGATTTTTCATACACGCTTTCTCATGTTTTACCACTTTGTTTGATGCAGCTTGTAAAGCAGTATGCCCCACCGTGAAAACTCTACTCCCCAAGCCCACAAGAGGGGAAACCCCTGTTAGATCCACGCATGCATATCTTCCTCCATCCCATCCAAATACTAAAACATCAGCTGGTCTAAGTGTTGATCTTCCTTCCAATGGGCCAGTCAGAAAGTTCACAGGTGCCTCTTTCTTGGCAGAAACCCCAACGCGTCTAAATATGTCAAAAAGAACATCCTAACCAGATCGTGTCAGTACTTGAAACCCGGGAGCTTTTTTACAATGAACTGCATGCTCCCCAAACGAGTCCAAACACGCTTTACGACAAACAGGGAAAGTCTTGTCAGCCGGAAATAAAGGAATCATAAGGCGATACTTGAGGATGGAACGATACTCCACTGGCGACATATGCTGGCCAAGACTGTCAATAGGAATAGTAATCAGAAAATCATGAGCATGTGGGGCCCTTAAACACTCAAAAATAGTTTTCTGCCTACTCGTCATGTCGAAGTGAACTTCCATGTCTTGGACAATTTTACTAAAAAGGACACTCGCTAATGAATGTTGGGCTTTTGGAGGGACGGTGTCCTTATTAGTGAATCGTTGAAGTCAAAGCCCGGAATCGTATCATAAAGACAGGCCAAAGCACAAACACAATATGAATCCATACCACATATGTTGGTATTTCATAACATGTGGTCTTGTAACACCCACGATTGGGCCCGTGAGGCAACAAAAGCATATGAGAAAGCCTCTACTGCTGAGTACAACCCCAAACCACCAAACTTAATTGGTAACGAAGCCAATCGCCATTTAAGGTCCCCAAAGAACGGACTCCCACAAAATACAATATCTTCAACGGACTCATGTAACCCTTTATCAAAACACAAAGCAGCATCTTCTATGGGAGCGGGTTGGCACGTTCTCAGACCAAAGAAAAGTTTGGCGATGCCCATGTAAGATTGAAGCAAAAGGAGCTCACTTTGGGGATCATGTAATTATAGTAGAAAGCGCATCAAATCAACAGCCTTGGCATCCCTCTTCATGGCTAACCCGCTAATATAACTCGCGTCTCTACTAATAGCTCCCCTAAGAAGCTTCACCTCCACTGATGGTCGGCTAATGTCTCAGGCAATAAACCTGAACAAAGCTTCCTACCGATGTAGGATACGACCTCTCAGAAGGTTAGGTCTAGCTCTATTTCGCAAATCTTGTTTGAGTCCAACCGATGTAGGGTAGGACCTCTCATTCGAAGAATTATCTAGTCTTAGTGATATGTAATGGTATTCGCGAGCTAGTTTGAGGGAGATAACAAGGACTTCTTATGCAGCTGATGGCGGAGAGTGGGATGGTGATTACCCTAGGGCAAGCCTAGGATGAGAGTAGTGCTGGGAGCAATAATAGAAGTAAGGGAATTAGTGGAGTCGAGACAATCCTTGAGGAAAGTACGAATATATGTGGAAGGTAGTATGGGCCCGTACTACTGAAAGCAGAGGATCCGTACTCGAGTGAAGGAGGGCTGAGATAAAATCAGGAAACTTGTAGTACGTGTGTGATCCCTCGATAGTGATGTGTATTCTGATGGTTTTTGTGTTATATTGCAGTATGGTGACACTATGGGGTAGACCAATGGGCAGTTCAGGTGTTAGTGAGGGATCAGACTCGGGCTCTAGAGTCGAGCAGCTCGATGAGCAGATGAGAGAGTTTATTTCAGCTGAGATTACGCGCAGTATTTTAGACCAGACTCCTGTGATCTTTGGTACGGTCAAGGAGGACATTATGGAGATTTTGAACGAGAGAATCCTGTGATCTTACTTTGTGTTCTATTTTTTTTTTTTTTTTTTAAATTGTATTTTTGAAAGTACAATCCTCTCTAATAAATGAAAATAATTTTGTCATTTGTCAATCTCTCATGAGTTTTGACCCTTGTCATTTTATCGTATTTTTGAAATATATAATAGGGATATATACAGTAAAGTCCCAATATTTTCATCGATTTAACAAGAAAGTCCTAAACTTTATTTTTTTGACAGTAAAATCCAAATTACCGGTAGTTTTTTTGACACTTTTACCATTTTTCCCCAGTTAGCCGGTAATTATGACTTTTTTGTCAACAAAATAAAGTTTAGGACTTTCTTGTCAAATCATCAATTAGGACTTTACTGTCAAAAAAATAAAGTTTAGGACTTTTTTGTCAAATCGTTGAAAATATTGAGACTTTAGTGTATATATAATTTTTTTTGTTAGAAGTTTAATGGTATGATACTCTTTAAACATAAGAGTTATTGAAACCTTCTCTAATAAGCTAGATCATATTCAAATCCTTTACGTTTGCTTCTTGTTAAATCGTTTTTTTTTTTTCAACAAACCGACATTGAAAAAAATTTGAGATAATCAAGAAATAAAGAAAGAACCAGGGTTGTGCTATTTCAATTTTTTCGGTTTTTTTCTCCATTTTTGAGACTGTAAAAAGCCAACACAACCCTGGTTCTTTCTTTCTTTCTTGATTATCTCATTTTTTTTAATGTCGGTTTGTTGAGATTAAAAAAACGATTTAACAAGAAGCAAACGTAAATAAGTTTAATAGGATCTAGCTGATTAGAGAAGGTTTCAATAACTCTTATGCTTAAAGAGTATCATACCATTAAATTTCTAACAAAAAAAAATTTAAATATATACTAAAGCCCTAATATTTTCAACGATTTGACAAAAAAGTCTTAAACTTTATTTTTTTGACAGTAATGTCCTAATTGACGATTTGACAAGAAAGTCCTAAACTTTATTTTGTTGACAAAAAAGTCCTATTTACCGGCTAACCGGGGAAAAAGGGTAAAAGTGTCAAAAACTGCCGGTAATTTGGACTTTACTGTAAAAAAAAATAAAGTTTAGGACTTTCTTGTCAAATCGATGAAAATATTAGGACTTTACTGTATATATCCCTATATAATATCTACATGTCAATTTTTAGGTTTTTTTATTTTTAAAATTAAAAAAATCACAAAATATTTATATACTTATATATGTAAAGTATTAAATATAATAAATGTAACAGTAAATTGCAATTAATACGTTTCTTCATTTCATATTTCAAAATTTTATTTTAAAAGATACTTATTGCTTACATTTTGATATTTAATATTTTTTTTAATCAACTCGTATATTATACGGGTTTTACACCTAGTGTTATTCATATAGGAATTAATATCTGAGGTTCGTTGGTATCTTTTAGCTAATTTTAGACTTACCAAATCTAAAGTTTATGTATTATTAATTTTAGATTAAAGATCTTTCCCCTAAAAATAAAATAATAATGAATGGCTCCTTTAATAAGTTTCCAACATCACTTAACATGACAAATATCTAATCTTTACGTTGATGCAACATGGAAAAGTCTAATATTTTTCCAAACTATTATAACATGTTCTTTTACAACATTATAGATGGTATTTTTGACCCAAATCCATTTCAATACACCAACCTAACAAGTTGATAATTACTACTTATTAGTTTAGTACTTATCAAATTTCATCATGGAGCATAACTCTCAAATCGAAGAACGGGAATTTAGATACTTTAGAACTCTAAAACTTGAGAGGTGCCAAGTCATTTGGCCCACCCTTAAACAATTCAACCCATTTCACAAGATGTATTTTTTACATGATCTAAGCTAGGCTTGCACAAAAAAACCGATTTACGATCTGAACCGGTAGCCGAACCGAAAACCGGTTCACCCTTGAACCGGTCCACTGTCGAACCGAACCTCCGGTTTGTAGTAATTAGGACTTCTAGCCATTCGAATCGGTTTTGAACCGGTTTATGCTGAACCGGTCTAGAAGATCGGTTTTGAAGTGATTTTGAACCGGTCTTACAAATTAACCATGCATATATTAGCCATGATATCCTAACAAAACAAAGCAAACATTGTAAAATAGAAGTAATTTGGTTCGATTTTTTTTGAAATGGTTCACCGAACCGGTTTGAGGTGAACCGGTTTGTACTGAACCGAACCGGTTTGTATGGGTTCAAATTATTTTGGTGGTGAATCGGTTTGAAACTGAACCGGTTTAGGGGTGAACCGGTTTTGACTTCGTTGACCAGAACCGGTTTTTTGAATCGGTCCGGTTCAAGAAAAAAACTGGTTTGTGCATCTTTGATCTAAGGCACAAATAAAAGTGTCGTAAAAAATCATCATCTTGCTCCAATTTACTTGAACCACACCTCACACTACGACAGCTATTTTTCTATTATGATCATAACTCCTATGTTTATTGGAAAAATAATGTCTCTTTTTTGCTTGCAATCTTGACCACTCAACATTGTTATACCAAAATTGCTCCTTTTTTAAACCTTGTTATAGAAATCAAAAGGCAAATTCCAACTATAATAATTTCATTTTCAGCCATAGGGATCAAAGTCGATTCACACCACCTCATGTTGAAGATATTTCTTTTTCACACGCTCTTCCGCTCCTCCAAATGTATGGTCGGTGTACTTCATAATCGTGATTCTCATCATAGCCGATCCAAGAATGAGAACCACAAATGAAAAGGTTGAAAGCTTCATAGAGAACCTAATTATATACTATGAAATAAAATTTCAACATTATATGAAATTATATAGAATGGATATCAGTAAGAAAACGTAGTTGATCTGGATATAGTTGTGATGGGTGATTTTGCAGCAATGGAGGTATGAACGAACAACTACATCAAAGTCTATACAGTTTAGGGTTTATGAAAAACCCATTCTCTATTAAAACGATCGTTCACCTCGTTTTCCATCAAACAAATACTAATTGAATTAGTAAAATGATACCCAATCTTATAAATTATAATCACAAAATCCATTACTACAAACAATAAATCAGAACAAATAAAAACCTACATATGGAAGATACATGGAGAACAAAAATCATGAGCTTCTAATGGAGGATGGACAACGGGGAATCATACCCAATTAGAAAACCTTTCAATTAAGATGTGTGTATTTCAAAGATAAAAAGAATATTGATTCGAATAGAACTTGGGGTACATTTGTGTTCACATCTCTTATCAGAGTGCTCCATGGACATCAAGACGAACCTAAATCCGTTTCATAATTGCTTCATGTTTGTCAATAGGCCGAAATCCAACTACCTTCATCACCAAAATAACTGTTAGACATGTCGGAATCCTACAAATCGATTGAACCATTGCTGAGTTGATAAGACTCACATCTCAATTATTATCATTTTGACCTTGAAAATGAATATATATATATATATATATATATATATATATATATATATATATATATATATATATATATGATTACATTGTTTCTTAATCAGTACAAAATACACTCGAAAGTCAAAACACCATTAAGTGGATCCTAAGGAAGATGAACCCGAAGCACCACGAAGATGAAAAGGTTTTCTTGGTCGATTTATTTCGCTAGTAACAACGATGAATACCATCCAAAATCCTAAAATCTTGTCGAGAGAGAAGTACAGACTACAGAGAGACCCTTTTGAATGAAGCGTCTGATTTCTTATAAAAAAGACATAATTGAAAAAATGGTCCCTGTGGTATGCAATTTTTTAGGGTTTTGGTCCAAACCACGAGTTTTTTGGTTTTGTAGTCCTTTTGGACTGGTTTGTTTGTGAGAATGATCCTTGTACTTAATATTCGTTAAAAAGAATCTGTTAACCCCCTCATGTGCCTTACACGTGAGGGTATTTATGTCTTTTTACTTTTAGGGACCATTTTTGCGTATGCAAAAATGGTCCCTATAAGTAAAAAGACAGAAATACCCTCACGTGCAAGGCACATGAGAGGGTTAACGGATTCTTTTTAACGGATGTTAGGTATAGGGACCATTCTCACAAACAAACCAATCCAAAAGAACCACAAAACCAAAAAACTCGTGGTTTGGACCAAAACTCCAAAAAAAATGCATATCACAGGGATCATTTTTGCAATTTTGTCTAAAAAAAAGGATGTGGAATGAGCGAATTGCCAATAAATTGGTTTTGGTCTTGCTAATCAACAATTCAGACGTCAAAAAATCGCGGTGATTAATGGCTGATTTCTCGAAATGGATAAATTTTGTTTGCTGATTTCTTGTGATACATGATATTGGTGACCCAAAATGAGCCGGAAAGAAAAGCATAGGATGAACAATGCTGGTGGTATAGTAGGTATTTCGCTTTGAATTTGTTTTGACTGAGGAGATGCCATGTAGACATAAGTACTAGACTATAGCCTTTGGAAACCACATGATAAAAAAATATTGATAATTAAAAATGATAATAAGTAACAACAATGTACTTTCAAGTTATTCAACGTCTCAAACAACTTCCTTGAGTTTTGGTAATTATGCACTTGATATAACAGTTATCAAGCAGGTAAAAAATTTATATTTTTATACCACAGATAAAAAAAAATTATATTTTTATGCCAAAAAAACAGTTGATATTTCATTATGATACCTTAAAATGAAAATAAATAAATACTTTTTTATTCAAAAAGATTGTTGGTTTATCATTCTGAATTTCTAATACCTCGAAATTGAAAGAAAAAAATATCAATGAACCAAAACGGAAAAAAAATTATATTTATATTAAAAAAGATGGTTGTTTTTCATTTTTGATTACATAAAATTGAAAGAAACGTGTTTATATATATGTATATGTAGGATTTCATCCGAGAATAAATCATTACTCGTTGAGTCGTTTTAATCTGGAAAAAAAAAACCCTAAATCTTGCATACATAAACTTTGTTTCTTTTTTTTTTTTTAGCTTGAATAAATTGTTTGAACATAAGCAAATGTATTTCTATTCTTATACTATCCAACAAACAATAAAATATTAGTTAGTAAAATAAATTTACATACCAACATATTACAAAAAATTAAAAATCATGTATTTTAAATACTGAAAATTATTTAAGTCGAATTCAATTTACTAAAAGTCATCATAGATTTTTTGACAATATGTATATTTCATTATAGATTTTAAATTTAAAATGAAAGTCTTGTAATCTCGATAAATTGTACAATAACCACAAAACGATATCTATAAGTTTGCTCCTAGAAGTTTTGTTACTTGTAGGAATTAAAAACCAAATTGAAAAAGAAAAAGGCAATGGTTGTATTGTAGGCTTTTACTACCCAATTATTACAATCAAGAAGCAAAACTCCAAAGCTCTAACAAACTAACATTACTCTTTGGATCCCACTCTTTTACTTGAAAAATCCTAATCATACCTATAAGTTTGTTTTTATCATATGATCAGAAACCGAAAGCTTGAATCTCTCTCAAGTTCTATGAAGACTAACAATATCCTGAAGATACGGATTGTGAATTTCAAAACCTTACTCCTTGATTTTAGATCAATGGGAATAGATGGAAGCGCCGCCGGATTACAGGGGTGAGTGGTAGTTGAAACAAAGAAGGGCAATATAGGTAAATCACATTTTATACCACGTGCCAAGTCTTTTATTTGGAAAAAGAGAGCATATGTAGGGTTATCCACATATCCATATCTCAATATGCACCACATACACACAATCAATCAAACAATTGAAAAGAAAACTTTCCAGCATTACAACTAAGTCTTTGGTTGTGTCATCTTCCTCATCTTTTGAAGGGTGTTTTTGGACCAAAACCCACCACCATGAATGCCCTCAAACTTATTAAAAGTGTATGTTTTCATTCATCTTCATTCTCTTGTGACTTGACAAATATTTATATCAAGAATCTAAATACCAGTATTCACCCTCGTAAAAGAAAAAGATTGACACTGAGAGCTAGTGTTGATGAACAAGAAGAGAAAAAGAGTTCGGAGAAACGAAGCTTTCTCACCCTAGAAGAAGCTGGTCTTGTTGAAATGTCGGGTTTAAGCAGTCATGAAGGGTTTTTATGTCGATTGACGGTATGTTAATGTTTCTTTTATTCAAATTGTAACTTATCTGTTTTTATTCAATTTTTGGTATATAAATTGTGTTATAAAACTAGTAACACATGACCATGATCATGAAAAGTTTATATTTTCTTTAATAAACGACACAATTAATTTATTTCGCTGATTGTATAAAAATCACTATATTGTAGACATATTTTTCGAGTTAACCATTGTTTTTTAAAATTCTATTATAAAATCAAACTTTAATACTTTTTTAGTCAGTTCACTTTTATCTTCGACATCCGATACAATTGTTTTCTTTGATAAGAAGGCCCGAAAAGAACAACAAACATATGGTGGTTAGTCCAGAAAAATGCCCAAATATATTGGTTAATATGACAAACAACCAGTAATATAATGGAAGTGGTGGTAGTGAAAAAAAATTATCAACTTGATTTTATTCTAAAAATCTCTAAGCATAATGATTTTTATGTAATTTGTTCTGACGTATATATGGAATGAAATTTGTGTTTTTCTAAATAAAATGGTACCTTATATATGTAACGAATCATTAGTCTATAGACGAATGTATAACTTGTTAAGGTTATTAGTTAAACGAGCATTAAATTATAGAGGTTATTTTTAAAAAATAAAAATGATGATTTTTTATTAAGGAAGCGTTATTACAAAATAATGGATAAAATGGAAATTTTAGTTTGCTATGATTGACAAGTTTTTGTGATGGTTTTATGTTATACAGATATCGTCGCTAAATCTTTTGAGGGTGATAGGAGAGCAAGAAGGGTGTAGTATTGAGGAACTGAACGCAGGGAAAGTGTGTGATTGGTTTCTAAAGGACAAACTCAAAAGAGAGCAAAATTTGGATGCTGTTCTTCAGTGGGATGAATCTAATTTTCAACTATAAAAAGAGTACAACTAGAAATTGGATGATAGTTTTGTCATTTGCGAAATTATTGTTGGTTGGGTTGATTAAAATGGTTAACATCTAACCATAATTAGTTGAGTTGTACCTCATTACAACTCATAACCCGCTCGAGGGTCTATTTGTCATTTTCAATAGATCATTGTCCGTTATATTTATTTCGATATTAATAAATGTTCAGAACTTGTTTATGCACTTGCAATCTAGGGATAATGACTTAAAAGGGTAATATATTTTCGATTTATACACATTTGGTCACTGAGATTTTTTTCCGTCCGCATTTACCCATTCAACTTGTTTAACTGTATATATTTAGTTCTTATGATCGGCTACTCCAGGTAAACTGAAAAAAATGACTTAAAAAAGCAGTATTTTGTTACTTTGTACACATTTAGTTATTAATATATTTTTTTGCACATTTAGTTATTAATATTTTTTGGTTGCAAAATAAGAATTCCTTGTTTTTGTACATATTTAGTACTTATTATTGATTTTTTAGGTTTTTCTCTCAACAACTTATGCAGGACCATCATTAATAAAGTGTTCAGAGTTGTTCATGCTTATAGTCACCGCCACTACAACCTTGGCTGTTTGGTTGCTTAGTTCTTGTAGTTTAGCTTAGATCTTGTATTCTGGACGTCATGACTTCCCGAAATAGACAACACTTTGAAGGGGTAGAGTGTGCTTGAAAGTGTTGTCTATTTCGGGAAGCTTTTGTTTATGGTTTGTTATACATGAGTTGACATCCAGAGAGGATTGAATTAATAAATGTCTCTTTTAAAAAAATGTTTTTGAAATATGGTATTTTTTTTGGTTGTTAAACAAAGAGTTTGTTATAAGTTGAGTATAAATTGGTTTTAAAAATAATCTAAAATGAAGGAAAGACGAAGCTTCGTTAACCATTTGACTCAATAGGTGGGCTGGGCGATAAGTTTCGTCCTTAATATAGGTTATCTATATCTTCATTAACCATTATCTTGTTGGCAATGGCGGATCCAACATTATTAAATATATATATATATATATATATATATATATATATATATATATATATATATATATATATATATATATATATATATATATATTTTTGTTGGAACAGCACAATTTAATTCAACACATCTTTTTGTCATGATTGCTTTCAAGATCTATAAAGAGACAACAATATGGTCTAAAGATAAGAGTAGCGAAACAAGTAAAAGTAGTGTAGTGAAATAAATGAAAAATAATACATTCATAACAGGAGCTTTTCCATTTGCGACATGTTACCTATATGCGATAGCGATGAAAAACCGAATGCTATTTTGCATTTAGCGATGGGCTTAAAAAATTAGAGGATATTTATTATACTCGTTTGTAATAAACAGATGAGCAAAAAAACCAATTTACATAGACTTACAAAAAAGCGGCTGCTATGTCCAACATAATTGCTTTTATACCCTATTTTTCTCTTTAAATAATAACTAAATAAATTATAACCATTATTTACACCGTTTTTCTTCACAAAAGTTGCAATAGCGCCAACCTACCGCATTGATAGCGTAATTAGACAAGTATGCGAAAGATAAAATAGACTACCTTTGATTCCAATATATGGCCCCAAAAATAATAATTGAAACACATGATATTAACGTTTTAAGTTTGGTCCCATTTGGTCATTTACGTTTTCTTTTTTTGGGTATATTAGGTCCCTTATGTTTGAAGCTTTGCACACATCTCGTCCTTTCACCTATTAACACACACCGGTTACCCCCACTTTCACTTCACTCGAACCTCACCTTCATCTCTGAAAATGTCAACTTCCAAGCTGCTGACAAAGCGAGAAGGAAGAAAGTAGTAACATGTGGTTGTGGAGATGTGTGTAGTATAGGTGTTGCACGCAAAGAAAACCAGAACAAGGGAAAAAAAGTACCTAACGAAATTTTGCTCTGATTTTGCCCTAATTACAAGGTATGGTTTTTATGAATGTTGATTTTGCCCTGATGTTATAGGTGGGAGGGAACTGTGGGTTTTTTTAAATGGTATGACGAAGAATATGAAGGAGAATCAAGCATGACATCTCACTCAAACCTGCCATATGGAGTAGTAGATGATGAAAAGGCATTGCTAGAAGTTATTGTAGGATTGCTTGCTTGCTTTTATCTTGGTTATTATGTTGACAATAGTGGTCTTGAAGATGTAGTTGTTTTGTAGTTTAATTGGGTTTCAAAATCATCGAGACAGAGTAACATCAGCAATATGAGACTCAACAGTCGATATCAAACAGATTATTATCATAGAGATAGAAACAAATCTATCTATAATATAAGTGATTCATTCATTTCTTGTTATCATTGTTTTTTCTTTAAACGGGAAAAATCCACAATGAGATAGCTACAACCAAACCAAACCAAACCAAAAAAAAACAGAATATAGCAGAAATGTAGTCACATGATTAGACAGGAGCAGAAGCAGAAGAAGTGGTACCCAAACCCATCTTTTGTCCCAAGACAGCAAGCTGATCAATAAACTCAGCACCAGTAAGAATCTCAGTTGTCCCGTATATGATATGTTTAGCAGAAGAAGGTGGCTGCTGCTGCCTCCGTGCAAGCTCCTGCAAGCTTCCATATTCAACATAATTCCCACCACCAATCATGAACACAATCGCTTCTTTAAAAGGCCCTTTCATCTGACCAGAAGTCGATTTGGGTGCACGTGGGTCCAACACCAGGTAAGACTCGATCTCCGGATTATTCGGTTTCCCTTCCATCAAAGCTTCAACTGTTGTCGCCATTGCCAACTGATGATCACCCGATAACAGATTCTTAACACCTGCAGTCACAGCACTGATCGACTGCCCATAAAGCTTCTCAGCCCAATCCACAATGTTGCTTCTGCTAGCAGCATTCGCAGAAGATGCTAACGAAACATTTAACGATTTCATCTTTTTCACGTATTGAAACGCACACGTGTCCACCTCCGCTTCTCTCAACGCGGATTCAACCATTTCCACTTCTATCTGAGGGATGGTTTCCGACGAAATAAGGAACATGATAGCAAACCGAAGCTTATCCGTTTTACTACCTTTCCCTTTAAGAACAGATAAAAGCTCCCCCCGGTCGATTCCGCCTCTCACCATCATTTCGTATTCCTTTTTCGCGTACGAATCCAGAGACCGCTCTTTGATCTCCCCGAGCAAAACCGTCGCGATGTTTGTGTGTTTATCGATTGTCTGTTTCCGTTCGGTCAGTTCGGGCAGCGAGTTCACCGCGTTCATCAAATGCTTCGTGTTCCCGATCAGATCCGTCCCGTCGAATTCCGCTCCATCGTTTCCACCCCCCGTTCGCCGGTTCACTTCTTCCACGTCTTTCTTGTATTTATTCAACTGTGTCTCGATTTCAACCGCTACCTCAGGGAACTCCAGATTCCCGTTCGCCGCCCAAAACGGGTCGACCCGGTCCAATTCATATGACTTCATCCCACCACCACCAGCACCACCGCCCTGTATGGTTAACCGGTTAAGCCTCAACCCGAGCACATCGTGAACGAGAGGTCGGTAACGAAAGTCATGTTGGATGGCAACTGATAACTCGAGGTTCCGGTCAAACAAACATAAAACGGGTCTCTGAAAGGAGCTTGTGAAGTTACCGTTTTCGGAAAATAAATTGTTTTTAACGAGTAAATGATCGCGTAACCGCTGGTCCAGCAAGGACGCAACCATCTCAGCGGGACCGCCACGTGGACACCGGATGATCGGGACAACGCCAAGTGTAGCCAGGACACAGAACAACCCGCTCACGAGCTTTTCGATTATTTCTTCAATCTCGCGATCGGTGGCTTTCGGATCGTTTAACCGGACGTAACAAGATTTATCAGCTAAGGAGAAGAGATTGTCATCCAGGGTTACAAACTCCAGATACTGGTCATGAACTTTGGAGATCCGTTGGATGGAATCGGAATTCAGGGTTCCGGAAGCAAGGTCTTCAAGAAGGGGGCGGGGGATTGATGAAGAGAAGTTTAGGTGGAAGTAATCGTAGACGGAATTGGAAGCATCTGAGATGATTCTTTCGATGTTTTGTTGGGAAGGTCTTACAAAGTAAACAGCAGGAACATCAGAGACAGGTTTGCGGTTTTTATCGATAAGGAAGTAGAGGGTCACACCATGTTTGCGCAGATCTTTCACATGGATTAGAGGGGAGAGAATGTCTTGACAGAACTTGTCATAAATCAGTATCTTGTAAACTTCTTCGTTTGCTGTTCCACTTGCGTTTATAGGTTGATTCAGATTTAGCATCCGAGCTATGCACTCTGAAAGTACATACAAATTTACATCATGTTTTTAGGCTCAGATTCAATATAATATTATTCAGGTTATGCAATCCGAAAACATTTCTATTTCTACTCAAGTGTAAGCATCCAAGTTACTCATACACATACATATACTTCATTATACCGATCAAAACTCACTGATTATAGAAAAAACCTAGAATGTCTCATACAAAAGCATGAAATCGGATGAGATGGTGGTAAAGCTTCAAATTAAGGAACACAAGATAGAATTCCGTTCGATTTCTTATGAGAACGCGTATCAATTTTATTTCATATGATTCGCTATCGGGGCCCATGAAATGCGATGTAATACCTCAATAAACATTGGTTTTCAGATTCGGATTTAAAATAGACGGTGTTTCGATAATTAGATCATAAACCCACAGCATACATATATATTTATTCAGGATCCAAATTATGTATATGTTAATCGTGCTAGACATTCAGGCTTAATTTCATATCCGATCGGAGCTTGAGATACATGAAACTGAATCGGGGAATAGACACAGGGGGGGAGAGAAATCAATCACCTGTCTGTCTTTGACGAAGATTGAGCGCCATTGATGGATCTAGAGCGAGAGCGAGAGATCTTATGGAGATGTTAGTCGGTTTTGTGTGTCTGTGTGTCTGCTCGGTGAAGGCTTCAGAAGCTTTTGAACATCAAACGATTTGGATAAATAAATTACACAAAAACAAGCAAAACCCTTTTCTTTTTAACGAGGATGGTGTGGGGTGCTTTTTAAAATGATTTTTAACTTTATGTTTTAGAAAAAGTTTAAAAAGATGATTGGTAAGGTAGAAATGATTTTTATAAATGATTTAAGTCTTTTTGAAAAGTAACGTATACATGATTTTTCTTAACTTTTCACCAGCTAAAAATTAGAAATTACCAATATACTCTTATCTACCTTAATTAACTTCATTCACAGTTCACATATCTCTCTCCTCGTTCTCTCCGCTCACGCACAATTTCAGGTCGCAAATCACATCTGGACCTCCAACAAACACCGGCGACGCCGGCGACCTGCAACCCCGCGATCAGGTTTGTTTCTTTTCAATTTGATTTCCGATCTCAGATGTGATTTCCGATCTCAAATGTTGCAATCTCTTCCTGTCTATTTCCGATTTCCATTTGATTTCCGATCTATGATGTTACATTTGATTTCCGATTTCTGATGTTACATTTGATTTCCGATTTCCAATTTATTTCCGATTTCTGAAATTGATATTATATGTAATTGATTTGTTGTGAAAATAATGTGTTGTGAAATGTGCTCCACCCGATTTCTAATTTTCCATTAATTGTTCTTCTCACAACCATCGAACGATCTCACACTGTAAGTTTCCAAAGTTTCACAACTTCTATGTGAACTTATATCATCTTGGTAATTCTTAAATTGATCAAAACTTTGATGAAAGTTAACGATCTGAATTAACTATTTGCTATGAAAATCTGAGTTGAGATCTATGGTTTTCAATTTGGGGAAGAACAGGGTTTTTAAGGAACGATGATGGCACGCAAGAAAAATGAATTAACAATTAGTGTAATTGTTCTTCCTGATTTCTAAAATATGCTGTGAAATAGTTATTATTTTGTGAACTTGATGAAAAATGAATTAACAATTAGTGAAATTGATGAAATATGAAGCTAATGAAATTTTTTGTTCATGGATTATATTTGTGTTAACAGATGATTGTTTTGTAAAATTGATATGTTGTGATAATCTATTTTTTCTGTTTCGATTAGAATTTTAATAAACTAATGAAATCATTTAGAAAGGTTAATGAAATTGATTTATTGTTTAAATGTTAATACTATGTGTAATTCACAGATAATGGATGAAAACAACACTACAATTGTTGATTGTGAAACATCTTTAAAAATGAAAAAACCAAAATTTGGGTGGGATAATCGTAGCTTCATGGTGTTTGTTGATTCGTGCTTGATTAAAAAAAAAAGGCCATAAACCCACTTCCTCCTTTGATAAAATTGGGTGGGAAAATATACAAAAACGCATTAAGGAGAAAACATGTTATAGCCTTGAAAAAAACAACTAACAAACAAATTGGAGAACATGAAAAAAGAGTGGAAGCCTTATGACCACTTAATGAGGCTTGAAACCGGACTCGGTGGGACGAGAAGCCTAGTAGATGCGTCCCCTGAGTGGTGGGAGGAGAAAATAAAGGTATGATTACTATTTTTTTTACAATTATTTTAAGTTATGATTGCATATAGATTGAACATAGTTGATTTACAATATCTTTTTGTCTTGCAGCAGAATAAAGATTATGCCAAATTTAGGAACACAGATTTGAGCATATTTGATGAGAAATATGCTATTTTGTTTCGGGATTTTGTTGCCGTTGGAGATCAGACTATGACTCCATTACAATTTCAAAACAATAGCAATCCAAACGAAGAAAATATGGAGGGCAAAGGAGATAGTGATGAAATCAATTTAGATGATGATAAGCCTATTTTTACTGTTCTCCATGAAAGTAGTTCAAGTAAAAGGAAGAGGTCTAAGTCTGTTTCCAACAACCGTCCAACCAAGAGTAAAAATTCAATTTATGAAGAAAAAGTTAATCCTTTATTGGATGTTATATCATCAAAAAGCACACAAACTTATCCACAAAATAATATGTCCCCAACAATAGCAGATTGCATGGCCATTGTCATCAAGTTCCCTGATCTTCGTGAAGGGTCCAACAATTTTTCACAGGCCTTGTTTGTCTTCACCAAAAAGCAAAATCGTGAAACTTTTATGTTTCCAACGACCGACGAAGCAAGGATGAAGTTTCTTAAGTTACTTATGAAATAATGATTTAGCCATATGTGTTATGCCTTGACATTTATGTGTTATCCTTTGACAATATGTGATATGCTTTGACATTATGTGTTGTCCTTTGTCGTTATGTATTTGACATTTTATATTATGTGTTATTGTTTGTCTTTATGTTATGTGTTAATGGTTGACATCATTTTATTTGTATTATGTATGATGGATAGTGATGATTCTAATTCATCGAATGATAATGAAGAATGTGTAATGGAAGAGGATAAAGAATTTGAAATGTTATGTGGATTAGCTTTGAAGGGGATAATACTCGCTCGTAACTTACGTACACCATGTCACACTTCAGATCGCACAGGGCACATGTTTATTACAGAAGTACTAAATGGCCATCCTAGACGTTGTTATGAGATGTTTAGACTTAACGTACCTGTTTTTAGACAGTTACGCTTAGATCTTGCTACAAATTACGGGTTACAACAAACACGAAAAGTATCTATAGAGGAGTCTGTAGGAATATTCTTGATGACTTTGGCGCATGGGTGTAGCAATAGATTTGTGCAAGAATTTTTTAATCATTCAGGGGAAACGATTCACAGGCATTTCCATACAGTTTGGAAGCCGCGCTAAAACTGAGTGCCGACATCATCAAGCCAGACGCAAACTATAACGATGATGTTCCCGAATATATATTATATAACTCTCGGTATTATCCAATGTTCAAAGTATTATCCAATGTTTATTTTCTTGGTAGTCAAACTTTAACAAATAATTTATTTATGATATATTTTTGAGTTTGAAGGATTGCATTGGTGCTATAGATGGGACACACGTTAGGGCATCGGTTCCACAAAAAAATGAAGTGAAGTATATTGGTCGAAAGGGATATGCAACACAAAATATAATGGTTGTTTGTGATTTTAACATATGATTTACATTTGTTTGGGCCGGTTGGGAATGGACTGCACACGATACAAGAATTTTCAATGAAGCCTTACAGAGACCAGATCTTAATTTTCCATATCCAACGGGTGGTTAGTATTATTTTTTCTTTTTTTTAGGAACACAAGTTTTATGTTTTTACTACTTGTTTGAAACAAATAATAAATGTTTGTTTTATTTACAGATAAATATTACGTTGTTGATGCTGGATATCCAAATACGAGAGGGTCTTGCTCCATACAAAGGCACAAATATTCGTTATCATTTACCAGATTTTCGACGTGGACACACGGCTGCTATTCGTGAACCTCGTGGACCGAAAGAGAAATTTAACTATCTCCATTCATTATTGCGAAATATCATTGAACGAACTTTTGGAGTGTGGAAAGCTAGGTGGGCGTTATTAAGAGACATGCATGTTAATTACAAGTACAAGAACCAAGTGAAAATTGTGATAGCATCGATGGCGATCCATAACTACATTAGAAAGGTTGGTAGGTTTGATGAAGCGTTTAATATGGCACAACAAAAATCCTACAATCCCGTACGAGGTGATACCGGTAGTGATGTTTACGAAGAAGGTCCAAGTACACGTCGCACGAGCGATGATGATTTATATATGGCAGCGATACGGGATATTATTGCACAAGATATAATCACATTACGTAGATGAATGTAATATTATCTATGATATTTTTTATGAATTATTTACAATTTGTATGAACGTAATTTTAATATTGTCATGGTCTAATCCAAAAACTTAGAAATATTTTAATTTGTATGAACGTAATTTGTACTTTACATTTGTATGAACGTAATTCTAATATTGTTATTGTCTAATACAAAAAGTTATCTTATATATTATTTACAATTGGTGTGAACGTACTAATTTTAATATTGTCATTGTATAATCTAAAGAATTAGAAATATTTTAAAAGAAATTTATATTTTATATTTTCTAATAAAATGTTTATAAAATTATAATATGTGTTTAAAAAAAATTAAGTATAAAATAATATATGCAAAGTAGTAAATCAATGTAAATATGTAAACATGTCCTTTTTGTCATTTTACATGTAAAAGTTAAACCAAACACTTTAACTTTTGACTTTCCCTTCAAAAGCTAATCCAAACACATTTTAAAAAATAACTTTTGTAAAAAGTCATTTTCCAAAAAGTCATTTTACAAAAAGGACTTTTACCCCACAAAAACTAAGCCAAACACCCCATAAATATTTTTAATTATCCACAGAAAAAAAAAAATGTATCGATAATTTTGCCCTTAATTTTAATTTATGTATATTAAAAGATAGAAAATCCCAGGTTCGGAAACTCCAAACGGTGCACAACTCATGACGAAGTCTGCTCGGTATGGGCAACGTCATAAGGCGTTATGCTGATTTGGCAACTCCCATAACGGCGCCGTAACACCGGAACACCGCCTCTCTCTCATGTTATTTGGTGTTATGTTAAGAAATGTTACCATGGTCACGGGAAGTAACGTGAGAATCAACCAATCAAAAGTCATTATCTCACTCTCTTTCTATCTAACTCTCTTTCTATCTAACTCTCTTTGTATCTCTTAACATGTTATAACATGTTATAACACTTGCACACCATTTCCTACATAAATCAAATGGTGTTAAAGATGACATAACATATGAGTTGACAATTTTTGGGTATGATAACATGTCTTAACATGTTGCCCACACGGCCACACCCACCAGCCGAAACAACTGTTCCTAATCGATAATCCTTGTTGCCTACTCGTTATTCATGAAAACTTTATCTTCAATGTCCAAATTGCTAATGCCGATTTCTATCTTTTTGGAATATTCTTGCAAACATGTTCTTATCTTGTTTATAAAATCATTTGTTTTTTTTCAAAATAGTATATAAGATTCATAGTTTCATACAAAATTAATCAAAATCATGTTCTTATTTGTACAACAATGGAATATATATAATATATATATATATATATATATATAGAGAGAGAGAGAGAGAGAGATTACAAACCTTTCTTGAGACCATGAAAAATCGTCTGCCGAAAGAAACAACAAATCTTAAATATTTCATGAAAACGTCAAATATTTCATGTCTCTAGATCTTTATTCTTCTACAAACAAATTTCATATAATTAGAATCAAATACAAAACAAGCAAAAGCCAAGTACTAATTCCAATTTTGATTCCAAATAGAATTTGAAGGGTTTCTGAGAGATAACATCAATTGTAGTTAGAGTAAATTATTGAAATCGTCCATATGATTTGGTTAAAATTGCATTTTGGTCCCTAACTCTTTTTTGCACTCGGATCGTCCATGTGGTTTTATTTTGTTGCGTTTTCCGTCCCTATGATTTGGTCAAAATTGCACGTTTGGCCCCTAACTTTATGTATATCTCAAATAAGACCCTCCGATTAATGTGTCTCAGTGGAACCCTCCGGTCCTAACCTAGTAAAGCTCAGAATAATACACAACATAAATCATAAAGACATAATGCAGGATATCACAATACTCAATATAAACATACAAAACCCTCTGGTCAAAAAAAGGTTACCACTCATGGTAATTATAGTGAGAAGACTCACCTCGTAAGCAAGCAAATAAACCTCGTACTTGAATAACCGGTCTAGCCTCCGCCTAACACATACCATAATTATCTTTGATTAATAAACGACCCTCAAAGAAGCTAGGCTAAACCCACTACAAATTTACAGAAGGATAAAAGACCATCTTACCTTAAAGACCCCAACTTTCGTATTTATGAAAGACCCAAACTTTCATACTATTTCAAAGATTTCTTAAGTTACTTCCTCAAAACATGCTACATGCATATTTATAAAACAATATTTTATATTGAATAAGTGATTACAAAGGATTGGATACAAACCGACTAGTTTTATTACATTTCATATCTACCCAGGAATTCTACTATTCATATACATACATGAACATTAAAAATACAGAGAAATACTATTAACTATTCTAATTCTTTCAGTAGTATAAAGCTATATTGGAATACTCATCACCTGCAATTGTTAAACATTTAGAGGAATAAGCGATAACGCTTAGTGAATTCAATAAATAGATACAATATAATCTTATGCCTTACATATACCAATATGACAGAAGTAGAAGAGAACAAGAAGACATATGTGAAATCATATGGCAAGCGTTCATATCAATCAAAGACTTTATTCAAAGATATATTTTTCAATGAGACATAATGATTTCAATACTTGATATGCATCAATAAAGCTTTGGCCCAAATGGCACAGAATACATATAATTTCTGATTAACATTTTGGTAGATTTCAGGCTTATAGCCCTATCTAACCATTTGCCAATACCATAGAATAGAGTTCATTCTCTTACGGAGTCATGCTCTACATGGTCAGGGGCTACATATCATTCCTATAAAACCTTATGCCAATGCCATAGAATAGAAGTCATTCTCTTATGGAGACATGCTCTACATGGCCAGATGCTACGTACCAGTACGTATGTGAATCTAAGTCCTTTCACTGATCACATGGTCAAAGGTATTATATTTGCTATAAACATAGCGAATAAAATAACAAGGGATAATAACTCAGAATAACAACACTGAGAAGCACATAGCACATATAACACATAACATACAGTTGTTCCTATATATTGAACTCACCTTAGGTTAACCGAGGGTTAAAATAGTAATTTGGACAACATTTCGGCTTTAAATATGACTTTCTATGTTGAAAATCGGGAGCTTAATTGAAAATCGGGCTCTACGAAGGTAGGGCTTAAAAAACGAAAAGATAAAATTTTCGGGTTTCTCGGGGGTCTCGGGACGTGTTTCGGGTGCTAAAATTGATACCGGGGTTTCGGGAAAAGTCAAAATAAAGAAGATATGGAAAAGGGGGCCAAAAATGGAAATTTTTAAAAATTACCCGGGAGATCTCGCAGCCCTCCCTTTTATAGGGCCGAGATGCGAGGCCGGATCAAAAGGGCGCTTCAGCAGCAGCAGCAAGGGAGGAAGACACGCGGCTTAAGCGAAGCTCGGACACACGAAGGGGGTAGCTGGCGCTTCGGAATCCGGACCAAACACGTGTCAGACTTCGGA